ACTGAACAAGTAATATCAGATCAACACTTGCCTTATTCTGTATGGCACAGGCTGGGTCTACAGTTAGGATTATATGATCCTAGACTAGTGGATATAGACAAGAAGAATAGAGGAGATCCAGTGGAGTGTTTCCGTGAGTGTATGTCTGCCTGGTTAAGAGGAAAAGATAAAGTGAGAGAGAAAGGAGGTCCCAGTTGGTTATCATTAGCTACAGCACTGGATACAATAGAAGAGAAATCTATTGCTAGTTACATTAAAACCAAAATTAATATTGTATTTTAACCTAATTTTATTATTAATTCATTGCCGTGCACTATACACTGTATATGTGATGCAGAGTTATGCATATCAGTCTTAGTATTTTATTATTATTGTTATATTAATAATCATGTTGCTTTTCTACATTGTGTAAGTTTATATTACAATCATACAATATACCTTTCAGTCTGCAGTCTAGTCTCTTCACTCTAATCATAACAGCACTATATGGACATCTGCCATTAGTGCTATAAAGCAATGGAACTGTATTTTGTCTCTAACTCTACTTACATGTACCTATATTTCTAACATTCACTTAAATTTAAAGTGACTATGGTATTAGAATTGGACTCCCGTCACCTTCATAAATTAATCTCAATATGAACTTTTAATACTGAAAAATAATAAAGCCATGAAGTATAAAAACTATATAATTCCTTCCATCCCCCTCTCTACTCTAAGTAGCAAAAGTATCTTATGGTAATTGCCATTTTTGGAAAAAAACATGGGCTATAAAAATCAGTAACTTTCTACACACTTAAGGACATCAATATGCATCAGAAAATGTAATAAAAATTTAGTGCATATTTGGAGCCATTATTCTGAAAAAACCATTGCCAAAAAGGATTGTTTTTCTTAATGCTTATAACTCAAAATATTAGCTAAAATCAGCTCAAACTTTCTGCAAATTTTAAAAAGGCCATAACTTGAGAAATTGAAGTTGGAATCAGCTCAAACTATCTACACAGGATAAGGATATCATTATGTATTAAAAATGTAATAACAATTGTGGTGATTTTGGAGCCATTTTTTGAGAGAACCATCGGAAATAAAATAAAAATTAATTCTTACAATCAATGAAATCTATTACATATACATGTACTGTACATGTTAACTTTACATGCATTATGGATGAGTGTAGCAGCTGTGTATTGATTCATTCTCTCAAGTGTACTAGCTAATGATTCCCAAGTACAATTATTAGCTGAAGTCAACTACAAGTTCAAACACCCCAGTAAACACTGAGAAGGATCATTTGAATATTTCGCTCTTTTTATGCATTGCCAGGCCAGGATAAGGTAGGTTTAATTCCATACCAAGATCAAGCCAGCTAGCATCAATAAAATAGTTTTCCTTCAAACACAAAACCATAATTGCATTGATTGCATGATGTTTAGCACCTCTGCAGTTATCACGAGACCCACTACTTTATAGCTGAAACCAGACAACACAAAACTCTTCTTACCAATAAAAAAATAAAGTTTGCAGCTGCTGAGCTTGTATGTGTGGGTGTCGAATAAATTAATATTATTATTAATGCAATATTTAGAATTAGCTACAATATTTATCTCTAATGTTAGTAGCAATGTGATGTTTTCCCTCTTTATCCAGTGCTGTAGCTAATGATGACCAACTGGGATCCCCTTTCTCTCTCACTTTATCTTCTCCTCTTAACCAGGCAGTCATACACTGTCTGAAGCACTTCTTAGAGTCTCCAATATTATCTTTATTGATGTCTTCTAGTGTAGGCTGATAGAGTCCTAGCTGAAGACCAAGGTCATGCCATATGTGACAAGGTAAATGATTGAGTATCGTTAGCTCTTCAATGACAATATCAAGATTTTTGATATCTATAGAAGTCAAACAGTCAACACTCAATGTAACTATAATATACAATGTACCTAGCTTTATTTCTATTGCAGTGTCTGTGCTGAACTCTTCAGTTATTTCAATCATTTCCTATACAAGAATAAGAATATGTTTCATTAGCACCATGAAACCCACAATCAGTGCACAAGACTGAGTAATTTTATATGACATTAGCCTATGGCTATATTAATGTATCAAACAGTTTGTGGGTGTTAATTCTTACTTTAATATCACGTCCTCCTAACAAAGACAGGTTACTAATATCTGATAATGACTCATCAGGTAGGATCTCCTTTAATTCTGTATGTTTGGAACCAATGGTAACAAGAAATGGCCCTCTATGCTGAGCTCTATACTCAATTAGTGCTGAGAGTACAGCTTTTATACTATACACTGTCCTTTCTCTTGGTGTATTCACAGGATAGGCTAGTTCTTTAGGATCAATAACTAGCTCTTTTACCTCTAGACTGGGACAGGTTTCTTTATACACACTCATTACCTCCCCTATCACATCTCTTCTTAGAGACACCATATTGCCACTGTAACCTTTCTCACAGGACATCAAAACTAGTACACACTGGCTCTCATCCACAATCTCTACCAGTGATCCTACACCATGACTATTAGACCAGTAAAGTCCATTCTTCCAAAATGTACAATAACGATTCAACTTGTTGTCTTCTTGAGGTAGAGCCATTTTGTAAGCAAGATGTAATGAGGGGACGTGGAAGTATCGAGGAGGAAAGAAATGATGTTTACAAGTACACTGTAGACACCAACCAAACTGGTACACTTGACTAGTAATCTCATCAGGTCTATCAGTAGACAAAAGACATGGAAAGAACAACAACCTTTCTCCTCTTCTTTCTGTCCCTCCCTCATCCTCCTCTGTCACTGTTGACTGATGGAGGTTTGTCATTCTTAGGAAAGATGGATGTAACTCTTGACAAAGTTCCATGTTCTTCAGGAAACAGATCAACATGTCAGGATCATATTTAGGGAAAAGTCTAGTCAGATCAGATACACTAACAATACCAGTATTGCTAACAATGTCAACGTGTTCTTTGAATGTCTCTGGAGCAAAGAGAATCCCGTCCACCTCAGTTAGTAGTATATCATTATTCACAACAACCCATACCTTGTCTTCACTTTTAAGAACACTGATCAAACCAATTGAGTGCAACGAATGAAGAACATCCAAGACATCTTCTCTTTTATCTGGTATAAAGTAATCATTATTGTCTTCAGCAGCAGAAATTATATCAGAGAGGGTCAGTATACACTCTTTCCTTTCCTCCAGTAGACCATATATCATGTGACAATAAAGACTCAAATTTCTTCCACTTGTACTACGAATGGACTCACAGGCATTAGACAACTTATTAAAGAAATAATTCACACCACTCCCACCAAGCTTACGACAATCTAAGAAGACACTATCACACCTTTCCCTTACAATTATCTCCTGCATTTCTTCTTTTCTCCTACTTTCAACAGGATTACTTATCTCGTCAACATGACTGACTATTACAATAACATGGCATTCATTAAGAGCTTTCTGTGCTTCATTTCTCACAACTGTTAGCCACTGATGAAGCTGTTTGACTGCTTCCTTATCCAATATATTGACTACTATCAGGAACACACCACCAGAACCATGTAACAGATTCTCAATGACAGCACTGTGACTGGAGTAGTATTCTGAATGACCAGCAAAATCATGAACAATGATGTTACCCAGTTCCCTATGTTGTATTTTATGAGGAATGATACCAGCAGTACAGGGCACTACCCCTCCAACATTTCTAAACAAACCAAGAAGAGTAAAACTAGCCATGTCATTGATGACATGACTAAGAGTACTTTTACCAGCTCCAGGATTACCCACAAGGAGAATGTTAACATAAGAATTGATTGGATGAGATAATTTTATATCACCAAACTTCTTAAAGACAGAAATAGTATCAGAGTGGCCTTGCTTCTTAGCTAGTTTAAATGGTGTTGTCCCATCATTGTCTTTAGCCATTGGATCACATTTACCAGTCGATAGTAAATATTCAACAGCTACAGAACAACCCCAAAAAGCAGCACGGTGAAGAGGTGTCCGGCGCCCCCTCCAGTCAAGAGTCATTGGATCATGGTTCCACTCATCAACAAAATATCTCATCACATCAACATGATTATGTCCTGCAGCATAATAAAGACAAGTCCAACCCATATCATCTCTTTCGTGTGGATCACACTGATAATTAGTAATGACTGACATCTTTCGTAACATCTAACCAGCCATTGCTTGAAGACACATGAAGCAAAGTTATATTACCTAAATAGTCTCTTTTAATTTTACTCGGTTCCTTCACTAATGGTAGTAAGCGAACAGCTTCTTCACGATCCTGATACTTAAAAAAAGCAGCCCAACACTTGTTCTCCAACGACATTTTGTTCTCTCCTGTTTTAAGATTGTTTTATTGGATCACAACCCCACCCACAAACATGACACACCTATTCACACATGAATGCATTATAGAACTATTTTATAGTGCTTTAATCTAAAAACCTACTGCTAGTAGAAAAACAGGTACTAGTACATGAAAGCATCGAGGTAAGAGTAATGGGAAAGAATACATTATAAAAAGTAATTAAATCCTGATCTTAATTATGAACTTTATACTAAAAATGACAAGGTCATGAACTATAAAAATACTTCCCTCCTCAGTCTCTCTACTCTAAGTTGGTCCAAACACATTATAACCTCTTGCAAGAGTATCTTGTGGTAATATCCTCAACTTGATGATGTCACTGATAAGAACAGACCCAACCATATGAGGGGAAGAGGATTGAATGGAGTCTGAAGTGATCATGTGACTGGAGGATGAGGTCTGACCCTCTCCTCTCTTTATTAGTTTGGTTATTAGTGACATGTATTGAGACTCTGAGGGAATGTCCAATGAATGATGACGAATGATACTTAGTTCTATCATTAGAGCATCTAAGATAAGAGAGAGAGAAGAGTTAAGTTTAAAGTTACACACCATTATAGCCAAGAACTATTGATAGATTAAACTTTTGCAAATCTGCCCAAAATTATATATTTGCAAATTAAACCATTTGTCATGTTGCATCGTATTATCTATATTTTTTTGTGAATTCTAAATTCAAGACTCTCAACAAAACCTCAAAAAAGGACAGTCAATTAATAAATTACTGCAAAATTAAAATTTTGTGAATTCTTTGTCAATTTCAAAGCATTTTGTACCAAATGATCAAATCACCAACATGCTTTTGACATTTCATCAAATGTACATGCACGTGTACATGTAAACCTAGCTTAACTATAATACTGGACATTATTAAAATAATATTGGATGTACAGTAAAACATACAGTAAAATATTGAGAGAAAATAGAAAAACAACAGAACACATGTATAGTAATAAATCCTACCGGTCCACTTCCCATGTGATATGATTAGTTTGTGATTGAGTTTATGAGTACCAGGAGTGAGTGGGCGGATATCGGAAGGCTGAGGATCAAAGGTCAACACTCTACCATCAGGGAACCACACCTGTATGAAATGTATGCATAATACAATTAAACTATATGTACATAAATTTAAAAAAAAACAAGCAGGGGGTTTCCCACAAAACATGCAAAGTGAGCTAATCCGCAGATTCATTGGCTGACAAGGTATTTTTCAGGATTTTGACATTTTCCTTAAAATCAGGGGCGTCGCTGGGCTTGAAAGATTGGTAGGGCACTAGGTCTATGAGAGAGGTGGAACTCTTTCGCGCGCGAAAAATTTTGCAGTATCTAATTAATATTCATGATGGATGTGGTCAATTTTGGTCAATTAATTGATTGATTAATTAATTAATAATGATCTTTTGATGCCCAAAATTCATAACGGCATTCATTTCCAGTAATAAATTGCTTAACTACCGACTGTATTTCTACATTATGAGTCAGTTGTTGGTGTGTGTGAAGAAGTAAGCAGTGATTGAGTCTTTCCTGGATAGTTATTAGATGAATTAACTTGAATTAATAACTAATTTTAATAAAAATGGCTACTGATCTTCAAAATATTGGTGGGGCAACTGCCCTACCTGCCCCTTAGGCAGCGACGCCTCTGAAAATGGCTGTAACCTTTTTAGGTTACAGACTGATGTAGGAATCAACTCAAATTTTTACATAGCACAAGGATTAAGGACATTAATATGTATCAAAAAATGTAATAAGAATTGGGGGTGATTCCAGGACATTTCAAGAAAAAATTCATGGGTAATTGTCAGAATTTGGGCGTATTTATAAAACGGCGGTAACTCAAAAAATTAAAGTCGGAATAAGCTCAAACTTTCTACACAGCATAAGGACATCAATATGCATCAGAATATGTAATAAAAATTTGGGGTAATTTTGGAGCCATTTTTTGAAAAATTCCATGGGATAGCCTTGGGAATCTTTCAGAATCTTGGCGTTTTCTTAAATTGGCCATAAATCAAAAAATTGAAATCAGAATAAGCTCAAACTTTCTACACAGCATAAGGACATCAATATGTATCAGAAAATGAAATAAAAGTTGGGAGTGATTTCGGAGCCATTTTTTGAAAAAATCCATGGGCTATAGCCTTTTAAAAAGGGAACTGAGCCCTTAAAATATTTTTATTAAAAGAAAACAAGAGAAGCCTTGGGTATTTTTCAGAATCTTGGAATTTTCTTAAATTGGCCATAAATCAAAAAATTAAAATCGGAATAAGCTCAAACTTTCTACATAGCATAAGGACATCAATGTGTATCAGAAAATGTAATAAAAATTGGGAATAATTTCAGAGCCATTTTTTGAAAAAATCCATGGGCTATAGCCTTTGCTTTTTTCTGAAAATTTAATAATTTAAAAATGATGGTAACTTGAAAGATTGAAGTTGGAATTGGCTCAAACTTTCTACATACATGTACATGCAATATATACGACATGTATGCATAAAACATGCATACATATTTTTGGAAAAATATGGCTTTTGGCAAAATTGATACTTTGATAGCTAGTCACAAAACAAAACCTTCCAATCTAACATTTGAATCAGGGATTGACATTACAATGAACGGTACAGTAAGTAATAGTAAAATAATTTTAAAATTAATAATTTAATTTAAAGTACGGTAAAAAATATTGAAGTAATAACATAAGTTACCTGAATTGCAACAGATGAAGATTCATTTAGGTGATCCAGTCGGGCACTAATTGGAATAGAAAATGCTAAGGACGAGAGAAACTTGAGGGGAGCATCTTTTGGAGTGTGTTCAAGCTCATCCAGTGCAGCCCAGCAACGCTGTATTGAGAGCAGCTCAGGAATACTCAAATTCAATATTATGGAGGTCTAAAGTGGAGGAGAGACCATTATAAAATACACATACATAAAGTATATATCATTACATAGGGAGAGTGTCTCACTGCAACTCAATAATTTAGTTGCTAAAAGTCTGTTTTTTTATTCGTGAAGAACTACATTTGTCAGAATGACAGGGTATTTTCTAAATTTTTGTTTGACTTAAAATTTTGTTTGATTTTCAATGGATCACAAAAGAGATATCACTTTCTGTCCTTGACACTATATACAGTGTTACTGCATACAAGACCACAGGCACATTATTCCTCAATGAATTAAACTCCTGAACAAAATGCTACAATAAGGAGCAAATTTTTATTTTTACTTTGCTTTATCATAATATAAAAAGTACAGTTTATGAGTCACCTTCTGGACCTAAAAGAGGAAGCAGAACAACTAATTGCTAGGAAAAAAAGGATTGCCAGCAATACTAGAAATACAAAAAGAATAAGTAAGGTACTAGTAGGTACCTTAGAACTAGTAGGTACTTCCTACTAAAAATTGTGAAAAGTAAAAACATCACTATTATGACTCTTCCTGTAAAAGGTCAAGCAATATGGGGGCAAGGGAAAGAAGATAAATGGACACAATAATAGGTAATTTAGCTTGTGAAGATGTGAGAACATCTGCATTGCTGAAATATTGACATGAATGAAAAACAAGCATACAAAGCAGAATGTACAAGTATGACAATGAAGGGTAAAAGAATGAGCCAACAATCAGTCACAAAATCTAAAGCCATAATCAATTCTATGACTTGTTTTTTTACAGACTAATCAGCATAGCCAACACTACCCAACAAATTTGCAATTTTTTTATGTGATGGAATAGTTTTAGTCAAAGAGGAAAGTGGTGACGTAAATAAGAAGGCATGTAAAATCATCTGGAAACCCAGATGGACTCATATTTGTCAATTTAATGAAACCAGTGGAATCATTGGTTGTATTAGAAGTAAATGTGTCATTCAAAGATATTTTTACATCTCTCTGTTTAGTGCAAGGATCATAAAACAGATGCAGAGGTCAGCATTAGGTTCTTCAGGTAGTTTGAGGCCTGGAGAGTGGGTCATGGCTTTCGGATTGCCTTTGTCATTACCAAACACGGTTACTTCTGGAATAGTAAGCTACGTCCATAGACCAGTCTCTGTTATCATGCATGTTGGACTTGCCAAAGAAAGAAAAGGCAGATATTTAATCTCTCTGTTTAGTGCAAGGATGAAACAGATGCAGAGGTCAGAGTTAGGTTCTTCAGGTAGTTTGAGGCCTGCAGAGTGGGTCATGGCCTTTGGATCGCCTTCGTCATTACCAAACACAATTACTGCTGGAATAGTAAGCTATGTCCATAGACCAGTCTCTGTTACCATGCATGTTGGACTTGCCAAAAAAGAAAAGGCAGATATGTAATCTCTCTGTTTAGTGCAACGATAAAACAGATGCAGGAAAGGGTGAAGGTCAGCTGTTAAAACTAATGTCATGACAACTAGATAAAATAATGAGAGTGATGCGCTTCCTTTTACCTCATCTATTTTATTACACATGTATAACTTCAGGGTAGGTTATGGAAATACAACGCTCTATTGATGCCTTCCTTTGGTATGATCCAGAGTCATACTCAAACACTTCATCACCCAAAGTAGAGCTACACCTTGACTCACCAATGTAGAGGCTACATTCAGCAGTGAAGTGACAGTAGGTAAAGCAGGATAGCGGCCTGTTCATTTTGTCTCTTTTTTTCAGTATAGCAACATGTCCCGTCAGTCAGTAATTGTTGGCTCACAAATTATTACATCAACTTTCTAAAACATTGTACAAACTCTTTTACAGTTAACTCTTTTTAGTACAACAATGATGCAGAGAAAGAGAATTTGATTCATTTTGCTCAAACGTGATAACGTTTTGCTGGTTATGCCTCCTTTTCCCAGTACTAGTAGCATCCTATCGGCTAATTTATACAGGCAGTTCTTAGAAATAGGTAGCTATGCCAATGGAAGTAGTAACTCAAGATCTTTGCAATGAACCTCCTCCAAAGAAGATTAAGACTCTTTTTAGTTTTATTCCAGACTCTGTTTTTATCATCTCAATCTAACAACTAGTCTTCAGTAGCTAAAGAGGTTGATGAATACTTAAGAGATGAATGTGTAGTGATGCATGCCAACCCCCTTACATTTCAGAAAGAAAATGAAAGAAAGCATCCTACAATGGGAAGGTTGGCACGAGAAGTTCTTAGTGTTCCATCTTCTTCCTCTCCAGTAGAGCATCTTTTCAGTCTGGCAGAGAAGTTTTTACACAAGACAGATGTCGATTTAATGATGCTAGATTTAAAAACTGATGTTTATTAGGTGTAATAACATAGAATAACTAAGACAAATGTGCCATTACTATTTTTCTATTGATTAAATTCAAATACTTGGTCACATACTTAAGTACATTAGAAAATACTTGTTGTACTTGTATTATTCAATAATCAGGCATGTATTTGCACTTGTACTTTTAAAAAAATGCATGTACTTGTACTTTACTTAAATACTTTTATATGCACTTTGCTCCATCCCTGATGCATATACATGCATACATGTACTCTGTTGTTCTTTCTCTCTTCTTCCTATTAGTACCAACAGCCACATCAGCAAAATGCTCAAGATCCTCTTAAAAGTATATCAAACTTATACATATGAGGATTGCCGAAAAAATTTCATGACATTGATTTTGTCAATATGTGTAAAAAGTAAGTTTCGTGTGCCATTCTCTATTTTGCATGTGATTTTTTACAACCTAGTAACATTCCCCCAGGTCATTTCTTACAATATACTCATAAATGCCAATATTATACTACTTTGTTGAGTGGTTGTCAAGGAGAGAGCACTCAGTGCTTCCTGCTAAAATTTTAAAAAATTATTATGTAAACTATTCAATAGAAACAAGAAGGGAGAGATCCAGTTTACTACGCAACAGAATTCGCTTTGCTTTGGAAAGAAATTGGCTGATATAAGTTCTAACATAAAACCGTTCCCTTCCATCGTGGTCGTAGCAATGATGTCGATGTCGACAGCATCACATGTGCTGGAAACCTCGAAAGGTTTGTAAAGACTCTCGACGTGTCTGAGATAGCGACACTTCACAGCAAACATAGAGGGGAATGGTCACTCCAACACATGACCCTGTATGCTACAGTCTGTGGATACAGCATATTTGTTCTGGCTTCAACACCCAAAGACCGTGTTTGCCAGTTCATACAAAGGAGGGGACCAGTGATGCACCCCTACACAACCTCTTCCACATTCTTTGGTGGGACAACCCTATGCAATGGAGTAGTGGTACTGAGGGCTCTTGAATTCGCAAGGCTAGACTATGTAGTGATTCATGGCTATGGTATGAAGATGATCGTCGATTTCATGGAGCCCTTGGTGCCAATGATTGTGGACATCCCATTAGTCTCAAAGAGGCTAGACGCAGGTGCTAACAACCACACTACTTGGATAAAAAGTCCTAGTGAGAACACTGGTGTGGGAAATCTCCACTTATGAGAGTTGTCAAGTAAGGAATCTTTAAAAAGAATAAAAGGAGCTTGGTAAACAATGGTAGCTTATGGCTTGGATTACCCTCTACAGTATATAAATGGGACCTTGAACATTGTATCAGTCAATCTCTGGAGACTGTAATGGAGTGAAACCAATTTTTTTAACTCCAAAAATGATCTCTCGTTAAGCAATGCTTGTCAATACAACACCTTAATGTTGAAGATCTAAAAATTATCTATTCTTATCCAACCCACCACTTATCACCTGGACCTGCATTTATTGCTGATTTTTTAAATTGGATAATTTCCAAAAAATACCCTGTACTATAGCCTGTGAAAACATTAGTAGATAGATGGATGCTGCCTCCTTGACAAAATATTGAGATATTTTTATGCATTTGAGGCAGCTGCAACAAAGATGTCACGCAAGAAATTTATAAATGATGTAGATAAAGAATTCTTCAAAATAATTGGCAATTTAGCTCCATTTAACATCATGAATGCATGTTTTCATGTTGTAATATAACTATCATTTGCTTTTTATAGACTAATCAGTACAGCAAACACTACCCAACAGGTTTGCAATTTCTTAAGTGATGGAATAGTTTCAATGAAAAAGGAAATGGTGATGCAAATAAGAAGACTTGTAAATTATCGGCAAACCCAAATGAACTCATATTTGTCAATTTAATGAAACCAGTGGAATCATTGGTTGTATTAGAAGTAAATGTGTCATTCAAAAATGTTTTTTATTTTCTTTGTTTAGTGCAAGGATAAAACAGATGCAGGAAAGGTTGTATGTCAGGTGTTATCATGCATGTTGATTATTCTTGCCAAAAGAGAAAAGGCAGTTATTTATGGCTTATCCTTGTCCACAACAGCAACTATAGCCCATGCTTTTTTTCCAAAAAATGACTCCAAAATCACTCACGATTCTTATTGCATTTCCTGAAGCATATTGATGTCCTTATCCTTTGTAGAAAGTTTGAGCTGGCTGAAAATGGGCCAATTTCGGAAAAATATCCTATACTATTATAGCCCATTGTGATATCACCCACAATTTTTATTACATTCACTAATGCATATTGATGTCCTGTGTAAAAAATTTCAAGGTGATAGATAACAACAAGAATATCTGGATTTAAGACCATGCTAAAAATTTAGCTAATTTCTGAAAAATACTCTGTAACATAGCCAAAGTGGCTCTTACAGTTTCACTGTTAGCTTTTCTCCACACACTAATAATCTTAACATATATGTATGTAGCTGAGGCTACTGTGGTCTCACATATAGTCAAGTGTGGTGGTGTAGTAGTATTGCTGCTAATTATTGCTAACTAATAGCTAACAGTCTACGCATGATATGCTGCTATTTATTGTCACAGCAAAAGTAATCCATTATTCAAAAAAATTCAATGCACATATCTTCTACAAAAGGTAGAGATCAATATGTGTCTGCAACAAGACAATTTACTAACAATAACTAATTCAAATAATCTAATATTGTACTAACTAACTACGAAGTATAAACTGTTTATTAGTTTGTCTCATCATTTCACATATAACTCATAATAGCTAATGGGAACATTTTCATTAGCTGTGTCTTCATCTCCACAGACCCTTAGCTCAAGGTAGTCTGTAGTGGCAGTGTTTAGTACCTTATTGAACCATGGAAGACCAGGACGAGATG